CACCCATGCATATAAGAATATTGAGTTACTTTGTACAAGTAAGTTGATTTTGTTTACATAAGTTTGCTTGTTTATTTTAGCACAAAGCCACATTGGACTATCTGCTGTCTCCACCCTGGGGAATCGAACCCCGAATTTTTACGTTGTAAGTCTGTAAATTTACGGCTAATCCATCGGGCAACATTTACGTGAGTGTAGTATAGTTTGAACGTCATTCGTAATGTAGGCCTATAACAATTTATGGCAATGTACAAGTGTTCAAGCTTGTAGAAACGCTAAAGGAGGAAACAAACGCATTCGTTATAAGTTACATAGACTGGAATTTGAATTATTTCAATCAGATAATTTAAAAGAATCCGGGAACGAAAGAAAAACATTACGAGAATAGCATTATTTTGGAACTTAACATTGATGGTTCATTACTTGTTTACAGTTTCATCATTTGGGGAACTAAGAAACCTACTTCAGAGGATATATTATATATTTTTTTACCCACAATGGCCTGTTTATTAACATGTTGATTTCTTTTCGTTTCTTCAATATTTCTAACCGGCCCACCTTCTCATTATTGGCTAGAGGTTCCCCTCTACTTTTTTTTATAACAGGTGAGGAATGTCAACTGAGGTTAAATCTGTTTGATGATGCATCTCTACAGTTTTGTGAGTCATACTTCCGCAGGTACCTCATAGCCCAAAATACATCTTATAATTCCCTACATTGGAATTTGTTATATTGTCCTTCCTGTTGCGTTTCTTTAGTCCTGATTTTCACAGTTTAGATAACTATAACAAGCCGAGGTTTGGATGTGCTGTTTTATCCCTCTAGTGATGTTAAATTTAAGGAATTGCTCTGGATTTCTTATTATATTAAGACACAAAGTAACGTGTCATGTGGCCAAAACAGCCTGCTGCAGGACACACGGTGTTATTAACAGAAATGATAGTTTAGCTATTTTCCACCTTCTGTATCTCGGACTGTGGTAATCCAAACTATCATATATTTTCAGTGGATGTGCTCTACTGGACTATTACTTCACATGTCAAATTTCAAGGCAATTCACCTGAGATATAACATCTCCAATTTTGATTGAGTTTCTTCCTTTTTTTTTTCTTGGCATCAAAAGCACGGAAACTTTATCTGATAGAAAATAAATCGTACTTAATTTTTATGGATTATTTTAAATTTGGTATACTGATAGATATTTTCAACCTACAATTAGGAGTCTCATTTGGTGTAAATATAAGCCACGTGTGCAAAGTTATTTAACAAAAACCGCTTAATGTGACGAAAATTTTTGCGCACACCTACGCAAAAAGTCACGTGAACTATTGGTCAAACATTTTTACTACAGCTTCACCTAAGAGTAAAAGTGGATCGTTTTGAGTCTATTGTAATTCGGATTAAAGACGGCTGATTTAGAGCAGCAAAAACTATCAGGTGAAAGGACGTGCACATACATAAATATTGGTTAGGCCAAGCAAACTAGATTTAGCAGTTTCTAGCTCAAGTTTTCAAAAGAATCATATGATTGGACGGTTATTAGTTGTTATTCATTACCAACTTTTCAGTATAAAATTACTAAATTTCATAAAATTATCCTAATTAGAGAGCGTTTAGCGTCATGTGATGTTAGCTTAAGCAATTAGCATAAATAATGATGCTTGATACGATTGCTGTACCGATTGCATAGGAGTGATGACAAGAAACTGTTAATCTAAATTCCATCGCGTTACTATAAAGAAAGCTATTAACACTGTTTTAGAGAGGATAAACTAATACCATATATATAAAAGAATCTGGGTGGTTCTGTCAAGGTCTGTTTCGAATAATAGTGTTGCGTCATCGAGGTCACGTGACTGGTGTGGCGCC